GTGAACGCCTATGAAGCTTGCCATGCATTTGTTGGTGGGTGGTTCTGCCTTAGAGGAAAAGAAACACCAACCCAAACAGCAAAAAGGCCTAAGCCCTAAAACCCTAAAGACTCTAAACCCTGAACACCCTAAACCTGCAAACACCCACAAACCCTAAACTCCTGAATCCTGACATCCCTAAACCATGAAAAGCTGTACGCCCTAAAACCGAAAACCCTAAAGATGCTCCCAAAACACCCTCAAGGCTAAAACCCCAAACGCCTAAACACCCTAAACCTGAAAACCACCTAGAAACCCTGAACTCCTAAATCCTGACATCCCTGTACCCCAAAAGCCCTAAAGCCTAACAACCCCAAGCCCTAAAAACCATAAAGCCGAGAAATCCTAAGCACTCTCAACCTGAAAACCACCTAGAAACCCTGAACTCCTAAATCCTGACATCCCTGAACAATACAAACCCTAAACCCTAAAGCCTAAACCCTGAGCACCCAAACCCTAAAAGCCATACCCCAAACATCACTTGGCCCTAAAACTCCTAAACTCCGGAAAACCCTAAGAGCCCTAAACTCTCAAGCCTAAATGCTCTGAGCCAAGAAACCCTAAACTCTTTAAACACCCTGAGGACCGTAAACCCTAAATCCTAGAAACCCTAACCCCTGGACCGTAAAAATCTTGAAGCCCTACGCTTTGAAGACCCCCAACCCTTGACCTTCAAGACCCTTCCGCGCCTAAACCCTAAAGACCCCGTCCCCCTAGAGACCCCCAACTTAACTAAATATCCCAGGCCCCAAAAAACCCTAAACACCCTTAACCAAAGCCAAAAAACCATCAACCCTAGCAATCCTGAACCCTAATGATCCTGATCCCAAAAACTCCCAAGAACCCGAGACTCCAAGAACCCTAAACCCTAAAAAGCCCCAACCCTAAAGACCCTAAACCTTAGAAACCCGAAGAACACTAAACCCTAAGAACCCTAAAGCCTAAGCTTAAAGCTTACGACCCAAACATTAATCACACAAAACACCCTAAACCATAAATCCCTAAACCCTTGCAACCCTGAACGCCTAAAAAGCTAGAGCCTAAGAACCCTAAAACCTGAAAACCTTAAACTCTCAAAACCCTTTACCTAAACCTCTTTACCCTGGAGAAGTCGCAAGTGATACCAAGCCTAAACCCGAACAACCCTAAGCCCTAATCAGGCCCCTAAGACCCCTTGACCCTAAACGACCCTACGCCCTGAACCGTAAGAACCCTTTCGCACTCGTCCCAAGTGATTTCTGTTTTCTCGTCCCAAGTGATCTGTTTTTTCTTGGCCTAAGTGATGTGGCGGACGGCGCATGCTGTTTACTAGAGTGCTGCGCGCTTGCTGATGTGAGTGAATGCCCTGACCTGCTCAGTGCGGGATGCTGGAGGGTTGCAAAAAAAGTGATTTCTGACCCAATTGATTTACTGAAATACTCACTTGCCTGACTGAGCAACCTGGAAATCTCCTAGAAGCATTGTTTTCTTGGCAGGCGCTTTTGTTTCTTGAGCTTTCCTCGGTGTTTTTTGTATCCTGGCCTTCAGTCTGTGGGAGAGCGAGCTTGGTAAGCAGGACAAGATGATGTGCTCAATTCGGAGGCCCACTTGGAAACAGTGGGTGTTTTCTAGAGTACTCGTGCCTTTGACAGGCGTTGGAGCTCATGGCAATTGGCCCACCGCCCGGACTGACCCTTGAGGCGGGAGTGTTGGCAGCTGCGGACATGCCCAATCTGATCTTCTGCAGGTGGAAGAGTCTGGACCTGAGGCCAGATGCGCGAAGACCCGCGAAGTATGCAGACTCTGCCAACGCTTTTTGCAGGCTGAGCAGGTGGTGAAGGCCGGAGGCCTCAACCCCAAGGCCGCACGCTCAGACGGCAGCTCTAGACTAGATGTGAGGACCACCGTCCATCATCAAACCGTCCAGGCTGCAGAGTTCCGTCCTACGAAGGCGCTGGCTGATTCTGACAAGGCAGGCTGACAAATCATTTTCAGCTGGTTGACATGCCTGTTCTCGCATGTCACTGCAAGATGATGCGTGCCCGTCGCGTAAAAACTGGGGTGCCCGACGTGATTCCAGAGGCCACGGCTGGGACAGCCAGTAGTCACAGTAGTCTTTAGCCTCAAGATGTTCACTTCATCCGGGTGCGCTGTTGGAGCCCACGCCCCAGGAGCCCATCACGGGCTCATCCGAGACGGCTTCTGGTGGAGAGGCTCTCATTCTTCCTTCCACGCCTCAAGCGACAAGCACGAAGTAGACCTTGACTATCATGTTGTTTCAATCCAGTATTGGAAGATCAGTAATGACGAGAAGTCTGTGGCAGTCATCGAACAGTGCTGAGCAACCAGAAGACAAAGACAGAAGTGTTTAAGATTTCTCTGGGCAAATGACACGCGCATGGTATGACGCAGAACATTGGAGCGAGAAATCAGTGTCAGGATCCTGCGACTGCATACGAGGAATCCGTTTCGGGCGAGGATGAGGACGTGTCGGGATGTCTCCTTCCTGTCTCAACTGCTTTCGGACATGCATGCTTCGCTGCTTGCATTGATGTGACATATCCCCACCCCGCGCTGCGCGCTGTTCCGCCCATTGAGTGCGGCGTTGAAGGATGAGGTAGCCGCAGCCAAAGCTGCTGCTGTGGAGCACTATGTAGCGGCCACAGGTTGGTGTGCAGTTATAGGATTTTTCGGAATCTATGGATAGGGTCGAGTCGGGTCTTGACCAAGGCTGTGGCGCAATCTTCGATCTGATCTCGGCACAAGTTCGATTCCGAGTATGAGACCGTGTCAGTGAAGTTCGAAGAGTGGGAAAGAGCCTAGGATGGCCATTTTTCCTTGTATATAACATACCACGTGGTTGCGGCCGGGCCCCCAAACTGCAAGTTGCAAGTTGCAATCTGAGGGGAGCAGAGCACGTGTGCTAAGGCCAGAGCGGCACTGCTGCTCGGCCTGGACCTCAGAGGAGGCGTAGAAGATGAAAGAAGACTGCCGGCGGTGCCTTGCTTGTTTGTGTTTCAAGCTTAGGTGCAGGCGCCTTTTCCGAACTACCAAAACTTGGCAGGTCCTGTTCTAAGGTAAGACTCCTAGCCACTTGAACTAGCAGCCTCAAGTGTTTTGCTCAGTTCCGGCTGCCTTGCCGCAGCAGCTCGTTTGCAATCACGTTTGCAAGCACGTTTGCTTTTTTTTTGAATCCCGGGAAGCAGCTCTGCATCTGACTTCAGGCTGTTCCATCCACGACTTGAATGGTTTTGACTTCAACGGATCTCGGCAGGGTCCTGTGGCCAACTCGGATGCTGTTTTCCTGTAAGAGCAGCACAGTCTGAAAAAAGGATCAACATCCAGTGTTCTGAGGTTGCCCGGCTGGGCAAAGTGACCGATGGTTGTCTAAAGCAGTCAGCCGGAAGTTCTGAAATTCATGCGGTTCCTCTGCGGACCCAAGCTGAGATCTTCATCCCTGAGAAGCTTCGTCGGACAAAGACCGAATGCGGCTTTAGAAAGTCAATCGGAGCGGAATAGACATGCTTCTCAGGCGAAGTTCTGCCATTGCCAACTTCCAGAAATCCAGAGCCTTTTCTTTCACGGAGGTTGAAATATGTGCATGCTGATTACCGTGAAGTTGGTGGCTGTGAGACCACTTCAAGTTGTTGTAAAAACCTTGAGTCAAGTGGCCGGACCTTACTGTCTGTGCTGCTCCCAGCTGAGTACTGTGAAGTACTGAGGAGTACTGCTGAGGGGCTTCCTGTGTGAACATGCCTCTCTAAACCTTGGCGAAGGTCCCACATCCAAATTCTAGTGGATTCCGTTCATGACTATTCCATGGTTCAGGGGACCTCCACTACGTGCAAGCTATGCTGAGAACGTGGGCAGTAGGAGCCTGGATGCAGGGATGCCACAGCCGCAGCTCCACAAGCATTGTCTCAGAGGAGCTTCGGGAACGGTGGCGTCTCTGTAATGAGGGCCATGCCCATGCTAAAGTAAGTTGGCTTCCTCTTCTCGTTGCTTCCTTCAAGATTGCTTCATTGTCAATATCGTGCAGCTGACAGAGACACGGCTTGTTTCCCCAGCAGTTCGCCAAGAATGATACCGGAAGCGTCACGAGACGAGAAGGCCACTTCTGCCAGGTGACTTTTTTTCATCGGCCAGCATGTGCTGAATCTCTCCCTTGGGCAAGACTGTGTGAGTACTACTGCAATTTCACCTCGCTATCCTAGAATGAACAAGGCACAAGATTTAGGCAGCCGCGAGGTTGGATGCAGTTTTGAATCAGAAGGCGGAGCGCTGGCAAAGCCTGGTGACAAGTGAGATGCACCGCAGACGCCGCCCGATTCAAAGGTGACACTGGTCTTGCCCCTGATGTGTTTCCAGCCTCCAATTGCTGTCACATCAGTTGTACAAACCATTTCAACGTGTCGAAGATACTATGCCGACTGAACTGCGAATTTAGCCAGGAATCCACAGCTTCTGGGCCACTGTGCATTGGTGAAACTGGACTTATTGAGGTGAAGTACAAGAAGGCATCCGAAAGGGCTCCTTTGCTCGGAGGCAAGTTTTTCCAATACTCACGTGGACCAGCTGTCAGTTGCTGAATTGGCGCCGAGGGGGAACAACCTTCGCACATTCTCCTGAGCCTGTGCAGATTTGACAGAAGATACACTAACCCCGCCAAGGATGCAAAAAGGAAGCTGTGCTCACGTCGTGTGCACTAGCGCGCATATTGCGCACCATCTCATGTCACATTATCATGGCCATGGCTGCCAGGCGGAGTCAACTCTGAACTGCAGAGACCTGCCATGGAAGCGACGGAGCAAAACTGCTGGTCAAGTCTTGTTCCAGAGCGTACTTGGATTGGCTGTCGCACGCCCTCAAGAAAGTTATGCCTGCTCCCAAAGCAATGATTACGGCTTCTGGCTATTGAATGGAGAACAACAGGAAGTATGAAGCATGCAATCCTGGATGTGCATAAGCTTTTGTTTTTCCAGATGGCACAGCCTAGTTCCCTCGATGGTGCGCTCCCGGTCTTGCAGGAAGCCTCTCCACGATTGACTCGCGCCGAAGTTGCGAAACACTGCACAGCGGACGATTGTTGGTTGATAGTGAACGGGCGAGTTTATGAGCCTCGGACTTATTTGCATGACTTTGGCAGTGGGCGTTTATCAGGATTTCTCTGTGTGAGATGAAGGAACTGTAGGGGTCCCACGTCCCATGCAGAGCTCCCACGTCCCATGCAGAGCTTTGGCAGCCTAGGACGTCACCGGGTTTCTTGATGAACATCCTGCTGGTAGGAGCATCGTCCTCCTGCATGGCGGTAAGGACTGCACCAAAGAGTTTCTGCAGGTTCACAGTGAGGACAAGGGCACCAAAGTCAACGTAGATGTGACCAATGATCATACATGATGGCAAGCTTCTGAGGACTACATCTTGGCATTTGCTCCCAACTCCTTTGTGGGCTGCCTTGAAGGGTCCGGCGCGCAGCCGCCAAAGAGACTCGCCCGTGCGGGCCCAGCCTGCGGCCCAGCTTGGTACTGTACCCACAGAGTTGGAGCGTGCTGACTCCTGGTCTCCCAGGTGCATTTCAACAGCAGCAAGGTCTTGGCACTCAAGCGCACCGTGTATGGTGATGAGCATGAGATTTACCGAGCGTCCTTCCGGGCCTTCCTGAAGAGGCATGTGCTGCCTCGGTATGCGAGCTTCGAAGCGAAAGGACTGGTTGATCGAAATGTATATGAGATGATGGCCCGTGAGGGCTTCTATCTCACTCTTGGTATTCCAAAGTCTTGTGGAGGCCTTGGCCTTGATTGGAGGCATAACTGCGTGGTTGTTGAGGAAGTCGAAGACGTCGGATGTGGAGGCCTTTTCGTGAATCTCGGCAATGACATGGTCTTATCCTACTTTACCGAGAGCTGCACTGAAGAGCAGCGTGCCCGCTGGCTGCCGAAGCTGCGACGCGGAGCTGTGCCCCGGCCTTTTCCGAAATGCTTATGTAATGTGAAGAAGGCATTGGCTGCTTCCTTCTTGGCTGCTTGTGCTTGTGCAGGTCCTCGCCGTAGCAATGTCAGAGCCAGAGGTTGGCAGCGACCTGGGGCAACTTTCCTGCCGTGCGGCGGCTTTGCCGGATGGCGGTTGGATCGTGAACGGCAGGAAGATGTGGATTTCCAGCGGTGCTTTGGCGGAGTTGACTGTAGTGGCATGTGTCACGGATCCGAGCAAAGGGGCCAAGGGCATCTCCATGCTCGTGATCGAGTCTGATATGCCGGGCTTCAGCTGCGCGAAACGCTTCGGCAAGCTGGGCAAGCATGCAAGCGATACATGCCTGATCACGCTAGAAGATGTGAAAGTTCCACGAGAAAACCTTGTGGGAGAGGAGAGGAAGGGCTGGCAACCAGACTTTTTTTCAGGATCTCCATCTTCTGGTATCGTACACCTGCTGCCAGTTGCAAATTGGCTTTTTGTGGGGGTGAGGTCATGGTCCGAGGTGAATATACATGGAGGTGCGTAGACATGACATCGGCAAGGTCCGATGGTTATGAGATCTCTCTGAGCTCACGACAGGCACCTGCAAGGCACTCCCACCTCACAGCCTGTAACAGCATCTTGGTGCGGCACCCTCCCCTCCTATCCCCTCCTATCAGCACTTCACATCCACACCTTGAAACATGGTAAAGCTGCACAAACTTGCGAGCAGCAACAGATGTTCTCCAAAAGTGCATGGCCTGCCGCAGGAGGGGAAAGGCTTCCAGTACATGATGCACCACTTGCCGCGGGAGAGGTTATCCATCGCGGTGGCAAGCATGGCTGCGGCACGCCGTGCCTTGGCCCTCACAGTGAACTACGTGAACGGGCGTGCTGCCTTCGGGTCCGTCCTTGGCAGCCTCCAGGCTTTGCAGCAGGAGCTTGCGCAGATTCGGACAGAGGTTCAGGTGGGCACCGCCTTCGTCGACCGCTGCATCGCTGATGCCTGTGACAAGCAGCTCACTGCCGAGGGTGCCTCGATGGCCAAGTATTTTGCCACAGACCTCAGCTTCCGTGTGGCTGACCGATGCCAGCAAATGTTTGGAGGACTGGGCAAGTTTCGATGTTTCTCCCATTCTAGGGGCAAGCTACGGCAAGCTCCAGGGACTTCCTGCGAGGATATGGCTACCTGAAGAACTCTCCCATTGGCAAAATCATGACGGACCAAAGAGTCACAAGTCCTGCCCTCATGGTGTCACATAGGTAAGAGGGCCCTGTCTGCTTGACATGCAATAAGGAATCTATGGCGGTGCAAATGAAGTGCAGCTGGAGATTATCGCAAAGGGCTTGGGATTTAAGCCACAGCGTGCCAGCAAGTTGTGAGTTTGAAGCTCTGAACGTTTGAAAGCACGGAGCTCTAACAACTTCTTGGTGGTGGCTACCAGAGACCGAATAAAAAGGGGCCTATGGCTGGTCATTCATGTTGGCATGCCAAGTGCATTAGCATGACTTTACACTTCTGCATTGGAATGCTGACCTGGTGGCTCACCTAGCTACAAGACAGCAAAGCTTCAGCATGCTCGACAAGCACAGCTTTCTCATTTCGATGCCCGCCAACAGCACTGCGACCTTCCAACAGACGACCTTGTCAGCACAGAATTAAGACTTGATGGAAGCTGGGGAGAGACAAGGAGGCTTGCCACGAGCACCTGTGAAGTTTGTTTGGCTTTTTGACGCTGCTTCGCTGGCAGGCATCCGGGTGGTGATGGCCTGAGATGCTGGGCTGAGTTTGCACAACATTGCTACTGTGCACCGTGAGGTTCACCTGCAGGCACAGCATGGCAGGCAGACGGTGCTTGACCCCGCAGCCTGCCCAGTATCGAATAGTCATCTCAGCAATGGGCCCTGCGGGCATCTCAGGTCCAAGCTGAACTGCTGTTTCTCTCCAAGTGGCGGCCACACCTTCCGCTAAGATTTGTCTGCGTCCAAGCTGCCGAAGTGGGTTTGTTGGGCAGCTTTGATGGAGTCTGCGTTGCAGGAAGGATCCAGCTATCCGACGATCGCAGCACTGGGGTGCGAGAGTTGCAACGGGTCGTTGGGTGTGCGCAGGTGTAGTCTTCTTTCAGCATCTTTCAGCAACGTGAGACATCAAAGCAGAGCAAAATGACTTCCAAATGTGATGCTTCGTTGGCCGTATTTGAAAAGACTCAATATCTTAAGCTCACGGACGGGAGCAGGCGCAGTGTTCGTTCAACTCTATGCCCAGAGGGGCTACTTTCAAACCATCCTCAGGAAGCCTTGGAAATAAGAAATGCTTCTGCTGTCTGCCGGCATCCTTGGACTAGTGTTACTGATTTGGTCTAGGGATGTCTAGGGTTGAGGGACTGATTTCTCCAACCAAACAAGATCCATGACAGGCAGCTGCCGGCCGCTTTGTCAGCTGATTATGGCGTTGTTGCTCGTAAGGACCTGATCAGGTTGTTGATCGGACAACGCTTTTGCACAACGCACACGCATTAGTAGCATGTACAGAGGACCTGAGACGCTTCCTGGCTGAACTCTCAGCCTTCGGAAGTCCATCAGAGGGCCAGTGTACAAGCAATTTCTCATAGCCAAGGCCAGCTTGGATCCGCATGGATATGGTGCCCCGCTGTCAGCGGATGACGAAGCCTTCCTGCACCTGCTAGGCCTCATGACAGCACAATCGCTGGAAGTTAAGGTCAAAGGTGGTTCCAAACTCTTCCAGTTCCTTGTGTTGCGGAGTGTTTCCTTGCCTGTCTAGACCGCGTTGGCGACCTGATCGCTGCGCTGCTGTACCAAGACCAGGGAGTGGAAACCTTACCCGTCTGGCCTTCAGGCAGAATTTCCAAGAATGGAAAGCCGTAACTGAGATTTGGGAGACGCACACACGACCGACATTGGTCTGCTCCGCACCTCTCGGTTTCGGCACGGCCGCAGCCCCACAGCCCCTCTTAGTCCTTGATGCTTGGATGCTTTGGCTCTGCTTGGGCATTTCTGTGATCAAGGTCACGGCCTTCACAGAGCGCCGGCGGCAGTTGAAGCAGCTCCAGGAGGACGCATCCAAATCGAGACAGCTGCTTGTGCCCATCCAGCCGAGCAGCCTTGCTTACAAATCCCATGCTCGCAGAAGCTCGCAGATGAGCTGAGAGGACGGGCATCACATCAAGCTGATCCTGGCGGAGCTGCGAGCCGCCCTGGAGGCAGCAAGAGGGGGCCGTTTCACGGAGTTCGAGGGGGTCTGATCCAGGCCCTGTCAGAGCGCTTGGGTGACCAGAGCTGCTTCAGCACAGGACTCCGTGACAGCTTCCATGATGTGTCTCATGGCGCGCGTTTCACTGTTGCAGGTGAGCGGAAAACTGCTGATGATTTCTCTTCGGAAGACAGGCCGTCTCTCGCAGTCTGTGACAAGGTCAGCTTTTGTCCGCTGGTGGAGAGAGCAAGTAGGCATGGTTTCGGCCGCCTAGATGCCCGGGCCTACGCGTACCAACCTAAGCTGTGTGGAAGGAGGTGCAGGCATCGCAGGCACCAGCATACTGTGCACTTTGGCTCAAACGTGCAGCCATCAGCGCCGTCCACTCTGTACAGCATGAAGACAGTCTACCTGTTGAGGCATGGCGAGGCACTTCACAATCTGGTTGACCGAGGTGCTGGCAGCTACGAGCGTCGCAGAGACCCATCGTTGCTAGACCCTTCCCTGACCGAAACCGGTACTTCTCAGGCATTGGAAGCCAGAGAATTGCTGGAACAGGCTGCTTGGCCGCAGCTGCAACCTTCTCTGTCTCAACTGGTGTGGGTAACCGGTAGGGTAGCTGGTTCACTGGGTAGCCAATGGCCCTGAAGCTGAAGCTGTTAGGCATTGAAAGAGCGTGGAGAGGAGAAGCTGGATGCCATCGTCAGCTCCACACTGCAGCGTGCTCTGCAAACTGCGGAGCTGAGTATGGTGCCTTTAAAGGCAGACAATGCCCCTTTAATAGCCTTGGACCAAATGGTCGAAATTCAGTGTGACGACATTTGGAATGAGTCTCGATGGGAAGATGACGTGCGACGAGATTGGCCATCATGGAATGTTGAGTTTGCTTCCAGTGAATCGGCCCATCCGGTACGTCTGTTGGACACAGCAGAGTCGCTCATTAGGCGTGCTGAATATGTCTGGAACTTCCTGATGCAATTACCAGGGTCTGTGATCGGTGTGGCCTCTCACGGCTGTTTCTTGTTCTTCCTTTCGAGGCGTATTGCGGCTTCTAAGGGTCAACGCATGCCACCGTTCAAGCACGACAGATGGCAGAACGGTGAGATTCGTCGCTACGTTCTACCGCCTACTGATGGTATGGCCATGGCCTGGACAGAGTTTGGTGGCCTACTCGACATCTCGGACTTTGACTTCTACAATAGATATCACCGACGTGCGGCCTTCGTGAATGCTGCTCGATTGCGCGGCCTCAGCGCAGAGGCCTTGTGCATCCCAAAAAACTTAGGTTGAAGATGTTAGTAAAGGATATGTCTAAAGCAAGACCTCCCCAACCCCACACGGATGCGGAGGTCTGGTGGCTTGCCACGGAGTGGCGCTGGGCGCGGTGTGATTCTGAGATAGAGGCAGAACTGGAGGCCCAGGCCGGCACCGCGTTCTCTCTTCCATCCTTTCTAAACGCGGAGGCCATTGCCAAGTGCTGTTTTGCACGTGTCAAGGCGGCATAGTGTAGCTCCAGGCAGCAGTAGCTACCCAAAGATGTGTTAGTTTTCTTAGTTGAGGGCGGCGAGGCGTAGCTTCGTGCGCAGCTCAGAGAAGGTGTCCTACTGTAGCCCTGTGACGTTGTGACAAAAAGGTACAGCTTGCGCATGCGTTGCAAGTCATGGAAACTGATTCGCACCTGGTGTGCGCTGTGGATAGTCAGAGGCAGGCTGAAGGCTGCAGATTCATGATTGTACACTTCAGGCACCTTGTGGTCTTATTCAGCATCCCCTGTGATCCAGAATCTTGTCCACATCCTAGTTTGTGCTGCAAACCGCAAATGTTCACACGTTGCTGTGGTCAGCCGTCTTGTAGCACAAAGGTCTGCAGCGACTGCCCTGGACTTGGTGTACACTGCATCTCTCAGTAATGGCTTGCTGAGCAACATATCCCATGTGCCGTATTTTCCCTGAAGCCGGTGTCCACGCATGAGGTTTTGCGACTTTCCATCCTTGTCACGATATGTTGGCCTTGTTGAAGAGAGGCAGGGCCCAGGTTCATGTGTATGTCATGTTGTTGCACAGAATCTAGAAGCAGGATGCCTGGCACTTGGCCAGACTATTCGACCTTCATGTTGGCCTGGTGCCAAGAGAGAAAGAGCAATGCATGCCTAACACGCGCAGTGGTTCACTAGGGCATCTTGGAAGCATTCGGAAGCCGTTAGCAGGGTCCGAATCATTCTTCTGTCCGTGTTGTTTCCGCAAGCCTTCTCGTGTGGGGAAGCCCTGGATTGAAAGGCCTTGTGTCCTGAAGATCGGCCGCCGCCACCGCCCCGAGCTCAGGGAAGCGCGGGCAGCTCAGAGTATGATTGGAAGCTTGCTGCAAGTTCATTTCACAACCAAAATCTTTGCGTAGTGGCACTTGTGGATGCTTATGTGAAGATGGTGCAGAAGGCATGTGAGGAGCCGCATTTGTTTGTGTAAGAGAGTAGCAGAGTGGCCTGTTCAGCATTTCGACTCCAAGACCAGCGCTCTTCTGAGAACTAGATATTGGCCGCGGATGGAAAGCGATATGTCAGGGTTTGGCTTACACCACGGCTGCATGCAAACTCTAGCATGACAAATGAGATCATTTGGTTCTGCCGACATCAGCCTTCAGACCAAGTACAAGGCGAACAAGATGTGCGGCTCAAGGGCTATGCAATGAAGACAGCTCGTCTGTCGCGTACAAGTGCAAGGTAGTTTGGACACCTTTGAAAGCCCAAGCTGCAAGGTGCTGGCGGCCCCAGAACTGGCTACTCGCAGGCCCGACTGGTGCGGTTCTCGGGTTCAGCACATCACAACTTGTAGATGGCAAAGTTTAGGAAGTCCACTTTTTTTTGTGCACCAAGGTGGGAGCTCTGGGGAGCAAGCCTCAGAGAATCAGTGGCATATGAAGCACCTTAAGTCTACAAAGAGCTGTCGTGCTAGGCTGGTCCTGGGGTGGCCGCAAACGTCCTGTGCAGTTCGGTGGGCCAGGATGGGCTTTCCGAGTGCTGTGAAGTTGAGAGCCCCTCATGCGTGCCGCAAGCATGTTTCGGTGGGTTCACGCCGCTTCATTTTGCAGTCTTAAAGCCTCTCATCGATGAAGGAAAGGCACCACCGGCTATCTATGCCATCAGCTTTGGGATCGCTGCGGCCTTGGTGAGGACAATTTTCTAATGGGCTGCCAGCAATCATAGCGTTCGAAGGACATTGAACTTGACACTTGAAACAGAGCTCCCGTATTGCTCAATTGCAGCATCAACGGAGGTGTCCGCAAGCCCTTCAGCTATCCGGCCACTTCTCATATAAACCCTTTATAACTCCTGTACACCTCTGTCGGGGCTCAAGCTGCTCGGGGACCGCAGAAAAGAGCTGGGGAACAGGGCACATAAGGGGAGAGGGGATAGAGGGGCATTTAGGGATCATATAGGGGTATACAGGGGTGTTTGAAACGTGGAAACTACTAGGGCACTCCTAGGATTAGCTCTGGATCATATAGTATAGAATCCTCAGTCTGCATTCTATTGCCCATTTTCTTTTCCATTTGACTCTCCATAGTTGGGAACAGGGTTACGTGTGGACTATGTTAATAAAGCTGAGGCATCTGGACTGTCGTTTGCAGCGGCCCTCGTGTGCGGGCTTGGTCCAGTGAGGTGCGCTTCTATTGAGGTTCACCGTGCAATGTGTTGTGCACAGCCGATCTTGTCTGGTCCGGGAGCCACATTGCTCAACCATACTTGGGTGGGATGAGGGTCCTGATGGCCGCGTGAAGGCTGGAAACGCCAGACAGACTTGTTTGAAGAGAGCGAATTTGTGATTGATTCAATAGCCACTTTGCGTGGTTGCTGCATTGCGTTACTCACCCTGCGCAAGGATGCCTTTGGCAGAGCGGGCTGCCATCTTCGCTTCGTCCCGCCAGCTTGAGCTGGATGGGTCGGATGAGGATGGATGCGACACCTTTCTTCTGACATGGGAGGCGGGGCATTTGCTTTGATTGCGTGGTGCTTTACCCACCATCATCCGCAGTCCACGTCTTTTCAGGCCATGCCCAGGCGATTTTCCATGCCGATTGCCTGGCTATGCGTTTCTGCATCGACAGTTGGCTGTATCATGCTTGGCGCCGGTATGGCCTCTGCGCACAAAGGGCAGCTCCGCTCATCGGCTGCGCAGATAGATGAGAAAGCCTCGGTTTCGCAGATGCCAGATCTGTTTTGCTTTGCGGTCATGGGCATGCCTGCCCATGAGCAGAACCTTCTGTTAGCTCAGCAGAGCAAGGGTAAAGGACGAGATATAAGAAAGCTTCAGCTTTTGTCATTCTGAAAGGCGAGGTTTTAGCAGCAGTTGGCTCGACCATTGAACCCCCACAGGATTGCACCCCCCCAAGCGGGTGTGAACTTAGCCAACACAGCTTTTGGTTTTAGGGTGGGTTGTCTTGGCAGACGTGCTTTTTTGATTTGCAGAGCTAGATGCATGTGTGTGCGCTGTCATTGGCAGGACTCTTCGAGTGTCCGGATTGGGTGGTTTTTGGCTCTACGAAAATACCGCCTTGCACTCACGTAATGAACGGTCTCCAGACGCAGGTCGCAAGCGGGGGTCGATGGAATACGGCCCTGAACACCCCGGTATTTGTGGCGGTCTGGAAGCAGGTGCTGCAACTCCCGCAGTTTAAGGCCCATGCCTGGACAGTCAAAGTCGACCCGGACACGGTGTTCTTCCCTTCTCGGCTAGGAAAATTTCTTCCAAAGTCTTCAGCAAGTTTTCTGATCAACTGCAATGAGGGCTTGCATGGGCCGATCGAAGTGGTGTCCAGGGCAGCGGTGCAGAAGGTCGACTGGGAATCTTACCTTCACTTGGCGTTCGGATGTTTGGAGACTTCACTTGGTGTTATGAACTTTGGGATGTTTGGTGCATCTGAGGATACGTGCGGTGACATTCCGCAAGAGGACCTTACTGACAAGCCGGGAATTTCATATAGAGTGGAACAATGCTGTGTTGAGCACGTGAGAGGAGGTTGGAATCAGAATCCGGTGCCCTCCTCTTCTCAGAAGTTCGTGCTTCCATCCAGCTGCTTTGTGAAGAGAATCTACATAACCACGTTGCATAGATGCTTCCAGTCATATCGATGCAGTTTTCCAGGACGTGTGGCTGCAAAGTTGCTTGATGCGGGCGGGCGCCTTTCCCCAACAAGCCTGGCCTGGAGTCCTCCTGGAGAAAGGATGCATGCCCAGGATCCAAGGCAGCTGTGGACACTGGGCTAAGAGGGATTCGCAGATCTGCCTTTTGAGTTTTTTTTTTGACAAAGTCTAGACTTCATGGACTTGGACTTGGTGAGCTGCTGTCTGCTAGGCACATCGAATGCGGCTTTCCACCCGAAGAAGACGTTTCCAGATTGGTGGGCATGTTGGCAACAAGCCTCCGCCTTCCCTGCCATGGGCTGGACACGAGAGATTCGCAACACTCGCTGTCAGCCTGGAGCAGGACCCTCCTTGGCAAACTTTGTAAAAATCTTCCTCTCTCGCTCAGACTTGGTTGCCATGAGGTGGTGAGACAATTCCTGGACAAGCAGACCCTTATTCTGGGTCGATGCCGCCAGCGGATTGCGACTTGCCTTGCAATAGCTTGGTCTTCTGGCGGGAAGTCTGGTGCCCCAATTTTCCATTGCATATTGCATGGTATTGACCGCTAAGGTCAACGTGCCTGTGAGCGCCTTGACTCATGTGAAGCCGTGACTTGGCAGCCTGGTCAGGAAAAGATAAGGGAAGATTCAGAGATGGAAGCTGCAGAAGCCAGAAATTGTGCGAGCCAAGGTTGTTGTGTTGGAAAGCCATGATCCAAGCCCATGCTATCTGCGCCAAAGTGTAAACTTATCGAGATGCACAACTGCGCCTGAATACAGCGTTTGGGTGAAGCCGCGACCCACAACGACGACAGCGACGACCACCACAACCACAACCACAACCACAACAACTTCAACAAGTACCTCTGAGCCGGCTCTGCAGCTACACTGGTTGCCTCCCATTTCCACCTTTACACTGTTAAACCTGCGCGTCACCAGCCATGATGTCAACAGCTTGCAGCTCAGGCTACGCCTTCATCCACAAGCTTTGTAACCTCAGAAGCACCCAGCACCAGCGTGACCAAAGCAACATCCAAAGATGATTTGCTGGAAGACATCGCTGGATCCTGGCATGACCGAGGAGGGTTCGATTGTTTCCGAAATTTTGCCTCAGAGCCGGCTGCCATGAATCCGTACATGACTGCCAGCGAAGCAGCCTGCAAGTCAGCCTGCGAGGGGTATGAGTACTGCGATGCTATAATCCTACTGGCAGATACACCTGGACAATGCTGGCTTCGGCAGAACTTCGTACTGGGTGAGTGCGTCAAGAGCAATCGTTACCGTGTCCTTGTCCTGCAGAGGCCTGACACGCAGCCTGACTCGCGCTGGGCGGAGGAGACTGACTTCAAGTGAGCAACTGATGGCCATTTTCATTGCGTTTTCTCAAATCAGGCTGCGGCCACCGCATGCCACTAGTTCTTTGCGGCCGTCCAAGATGACCTTTAGGGATATTTGTTATTAGCCATCCTGACCTGCAGCCTGGGCTCGGCGCCCTGCGCTATAGCTCCAAGCTGCATGGTGCAGGAGCAATTTGCTAGTAGTGGTACAGTGGTAGAGCCCAAGGCTTGCCATTTCTTGTCCCACAGTCACTACGCATTCTTGGCGCAAGGGCTTGAACATGGAAGGAGAGAACAGATGTTTGTCAATTTGTGCTAATGCATGATTGAGGTTCTTCTCAGAGTAGAGTCCAGCAAGATCCTGCGCCCTGCTTTGTCTAGGCCTTTGGCTCTTCTGCAGCAGCTGGCGGCGGCCTTTGCTGATGCGTCGGACCAGCCACCCTGATCTGCCTGCTGTAAAAAAGGTGGCAGAACGTTGGCCGTAGAAGAGCTGTCTTGAGCAGCAGACTCAGTGTGAGCAGGATCAAGATGATGTCAGTGTGCAGCTCAATCCACGTTAACAGGCGCAGACAATGCACTGCCAGTAATCTGCCAGTACCAGACTTTGTGGCGGTAGATCCATTAGTGCAAGTAATCAGTGTCCGTTGCCGCTATGTCGATCGCAGCTTTCGCTACACTCCCCAGTGTGCAATCAGGCAGAGCTTGTGAAAGTGTGAGTGCGGTTTGAAATGTTTGGAACCTACTCGTACGGCCTGTTGATTTGCACTTCATCATTGCTTCGGTCTACTGGGTTGATAACTCCTTTGAAGCCTCGCCTGAGGTGATGCGTACTAGGCTGATGTATCAAAACAGAGCGAATTGCCGGTCTTTCTCACAGTGCTTTGCCTGAGGTGTCGACGCCAGGAATCCCAGCCTTCGAGGACATGCCTCGCAGAACCAATCACGTCCTGGCTCTGACATGGCCGGTGCGGCGTTGCTGTCGGCACCGGCAATATCTGCAATGTCTGGCTTTTTGCTTGCTCTTCGGAACAGACGCTCCTGGGCTTGAAAGTCAAAGCAAAATGCAGCGTCATGCTTTGACACTGTCCCAACAGATCTGTGACTGAGGCTCGCTGACCAGAAGGGCTGCAAAAGATGAAGCTCGAGTGCAGACAATGGAGCGACCCCTGCTGGACAACGTTGTTACTGCTGGGGTGAAGGCCTGGAGGTTTAAAAAAACATTGCAGGCGCGAGGCGGGAGTACTCATTTCAATCCAGCCTCTATAGGCTCCTAAGCCTTTAAGCGCGTAAGCCTGGAAGAGACCAGCCTCTATAAGCTCCTAAGCCTCTAAGAGCCTGACCGCCTAGGCCTGGGTCGGAAGAGACCAAGCGCATAAAAGCTCCTAAACGCCTCAGTGCCTTGTAATAGAGGCTTAGAGGCTTAGAGGCGTGCCAGCGGCCAGGCGGGGCAATACAAGCTTAGACGCTTATAGAGGCTTCTGCGGACACTGGGTGCGGTAATGGAGGCTGCATGCCAGCGTCAAAGCGCCTCAAAGCGCCTCAAAGCGCCTTAAAGCGCCTCAAAGCGCCTCAAAGCGCCTAAGCGCCTCAAAGCGCCTGAAAACGCCTCAAAGCGCCTAAAGCGCCTGAGCGCCTCTAAGCGCCTCAAAGCGCCTAAGCGCCTCAAAGCGCCTAAGTGCCTCAAAGCCTCAAAGCGTCTAAGCGCCTCAACGCGGGGATGCATTTTTTTTTGCTGCAGTGCTCGCATGCGATCATGCAAGCTGAGACAGGGCCATACTTATGTGGCCCAACCTGTTCATGCTGAACAGTGTTTACTGCACTCCCTCAGCTTCCAGGCTCAACGGCTGCATAGCGACCCCAGCCGCAAAAACTTAATCAATCCTTGACAAGAGGCTACAGGGGCCAACTCGCAGCCTGAGCTACAGGACCTTTCTGGAGGCAAGACTATTTCAGCATATCATTCAGCTGATGGGAATGCCATATGCCGACATGCATTGTTGGGGGCCGACATGCAGGACTCGGTTTCCGAAATGCATAACGGCATAACGAGCTGGGCTGGAGGCCTCCTAATCCATGTCGCAAATCTATCATTACAGATGATCCGCCGTCCATCGTTCATGATGATGGGCCGACATGCATGACATGGTTTCCGAAATGCACAATCCTGGCCTTGAGCCGGTTGGTTGAAACAGAAAGCTACAGGGAAGAGGGATACAAGGAATTCAAGTTTGGAAGCGTGCAGTTGTGTGTGTGTGTGTGTGTGTGTGTGAACCACCTGTTAGCCAAGGTTTTCAGTTCTTAAGTCTGCAGGGGGCATGGCGGTCTTTCCCTAGC